TGCGGGCTCAGAAGCGACACGCACCGCGGCCACTACCACCATATCTGGCAGAACGATCTGATGGACTGCTAGTAAAAGGAAAACTACTGTGGGTACCTACCGAAGAGCATGCATTGCTGCGTAGACTGATGATTATCTCGCATTGTGGGCCTCAAGGCCATCGTGGCCGACATGCAATGATGATACAGTTGGCCAGCGTGTTTTCGATTGAACGGCTCCGTGTGCACGTAGATCGTTTCCTGGCGAAGTGCCTTTTGTGTATGCACATTAAAGGAGGAAAGATCATTCCGAGACCATGGGGAGAAACGTACCGCAGCCAAACGCGGAATGAAGCGCTGCATTTTGACTTTTTATTTCTGGGTGAATCGTTTGGAGACAACCAGTACCTGCTGGCACTGAAGGACGATGCTATCATTTTTGTGAATTAGTAGTCTGTGAGTCACCGACCAGTGCCGTTGTCGCTGAGGCTATTCTACAGTGGCATTCTCGTTTCGGTGTGCCACAACTCTGGATTAGTGACCAAGGCACTCATTTTAAATGTGAAGTGGTTGACACCCTGAGGAGTAAGTTGAAGTGCGATCACGAATTTTCTGTGGCATATTGTCCGTGGATAAATGGATCTATTGAGCGGTTAAATAGGGATATTCTACAAGTTTTTCGAGTTATGATTTTGGAGTACAAACTGGATCATCGTGACTGGGAGTCACTGGTCTCTGTAGTACAGTCTAGCTTGAATCACACACCTCTACCCTCGCTAGCCTATAAGTCACCTCTGGAATTATTTACGGGGCTGCCACCGCCGTCACCTTTTGGGCACGCTTTCGTACGCAATCAAGGCCAAGGTGAGCTAATTGAAGCTGGAAACTCTGACAAAATTGAGCGCTCGCTGGCGCAGCTACGTGCTAGTATTCACAATATGCACAGAGATGTCAGTAATGCGAGGGAGAAGCAAACTTTGCTGAACAAGAAAAAGGAACGTGGAGAAAACTTAGTGAATTTTTCGGTTGGAGATTTTGTGCTACGTTCTCGAGTGGATGAGAAACATGTAAACAAGCTTCTAGTTACTTGGGTAGGGCCATATGTGGTGACGGAGGCTCACTCGAGGCATTTTGTGGTTAGAGACTTAGTGACCGGCAAGTCACGTGACGTGCACGCGTCACGGTTGAAGTTCTTTGCCGATAGTGACCTAGAAGTAACTGGAGAATTGCTACAGCATGTGACTAGCCAAGGTGTTGTGCTGGATGTGGACAAGATTAAGCAGCACCGTTGGAATGCACAACGAAAGGACTACGAACTCTACGTTAGCTGGCGTGGCCTCGAGGACATCGAGGATTCCTGGGAGCCATTTGCTGCTATGGCACGCGATGTGAGAGTTCTAGTAGATACCTATGTTACAACTGCGGAGGATACGCAGCTTGCCGAACATTGGACTCGCCTCAGCCGGCCTCAAAGTGGCGGCAGTTAGGTTATAGTCAGGTTCACCGTACACTATTTCCAAGTGGTCATGATGTACTATTTGGATATGATTGCACGATTTCAACGGAGTCAAAGTGCATCAAGTCAAGTTGAAGTTCCATGTGACGAGATATTTCGACTGGTGAATTTTTGATTAGCGAAATTTTCAAGTTATTTTCTACTGTGATATTACGTTTTCAAGATATTTTGGATTGTGGACGAGGTGACACATTTCCAGGAGAACGACGTTGGCGAGTGTCAACGAAGCAGAAGATGGAGCTAAGTTCACGAGGCTGAATGAGGCTTTAA